ACATCCCTGAACTCTTTCGACCATACGTTCTCAAGCTTCGCGAAACCTGCAGGTACTGGTAGCATGGACATAACGGCCCTGGATGCCCTGACCATGCGGATGAACTTGTACCGTGGAGGAAAACCATGGTCCCAACATGGACAATGTCTGTACAAAGGCCTAAGTGCGTACAGCTGCTGTCATGTTAAGCATGCTTTCAAGCGCTGTCCCTGTTTCTCACTGTCAGAGGAGCTGCTGCATGGGTGCAGGCCTTTGTCATTAGACAGCTTCTGGAAAACAGCCGGCATGAATGATGATACTACACGCACCTACGTGAAGACAAGTCTCTGTGCGAGAGAAAATTCAAGCTCCGAGTCTTCGGCAGCATTGAACGTAAAACCCGCTGGATTCGGGACGTTGGTGATCCGCCAATGTTCGAAATAAAGACGGCGCGCAAAGCGAACCAAAAGAACAGGACAGGCCTCAAAGCAAGCAAGGTGAAGCATGTGGAAGAACATTGTTGAAAAAACGTTGTTGTGCCCGAGGCATCTGAGAACCTCACCCGAGGACGTTGCCCACCTCACCAAGGACGTAGAGCCTGTAGAAGCTTCAGGAACGCCCATAACGCGCACGAAACGAGGCACAACAACTGGAAGGCAACAGCAACATCCACCGCCAATGTAGCATCGATCGGCACATCAACATTTGATTAGGCACAGTGCCATTAAGAATGACCACACACACACACTCTGATGAAGAGAACAGACAACAAAAGTACGTAAGCCGAGGCTTCTCGCCCACAGCGTCAAGACAAGGCGATGTCATTGACAGATCAGGCTACCGGCAAGTAGTGCAAGCTCAGTAACATGATAGTCTGTTCCGTGAAAACCGACAGCAGCGCGTCATATGCTCGAATCTCCGCTAGAGCTGAGAGAAGAAAACCTCGTCGCCACTCCCACCATGCCGCGGAAAACTCTTCTTCCGGTGGCAGGAATGTAGAGCGCAAGCCGACTTTATCGCACTCCTGGTACACGATGTACAGCAGGGTGATAACCTCATGCCATCGTGCGAGGGTGTGCCGGGAATCGGAAAGCGAGCACTCCCGCGGCATGTGCGGCAATTAGGTTTCTAAGGCTGTAGGCTGTAGGCTAAGGCTATCACCATGAGGAGCGTGTTCCAAATGAACGTAATCTCGTCCACTTTGGCAATGCGAATGAAGTCGCAGCCTTCGACATCAAAGGCCACAGCCGTCTGAATGGCGAAGTTCACAAGGAGCACTCCTGGGTCTGGGAAGCTTCAACGAAGCTTAAGAACTTTTATATGTTGATCCTCGGATATTGAAATGAAAAATCAAGGCCAGGAAAGAGCGACTGGCGATGTCGGCTGCAAGCGATCAGAGGAACGAAAAGAGGCCAGGGAGGGGAGGGGAAGGTGCATGGGCTGCACTGCAAGAGGCTGACACTTACACTTAGCGTTTCGGGGTGGGTTGGCGGGGGGTGTGCATAACCTGAAGCTTCATGCTATGCGGCTGGATTCAAAAGTCTGACTCGCGATGGCCCTTCGAACCCCCCCGCAAACAACAAAAAGGAAACCATGTAGAGGCGCACAGCCCAAGATTGCAGCCAGGGTAAGGTGTGTAACGGAAACCAAAGGGAATGTAACGGAAATTAAACCGAAACCCGAAACGGAAAGCAAGAAAAACTGTAACGGAAATCACGCCCGCAAGCCTGGAAACCAGACGCAGGTGTAACGGAAACCAACCCTAAATCCTAAACCTAAACCAACCCTAAACCCTAAACTTTCCCTAAAGCCTAAAGCCGAGAGCCTAAACCCTAATCCGTAAACCCTAAACCCTGAAACAAAGAACCCGCGTTGGTTTCTGTTACGCCCCGGCAAAGTTTCTGTACCGGTTTCATGCCGGCAGTTTCCGTTACAACCCGCCAATTTCCGTAACAGACTTTACTCAGATTGCAGGATCAGCATACATGCAGGGTTCAGATCTTGTACTTGGGCACAGCGGTATGCAAGTCCTCACTTAAATGGAACAATCGCTGCCTCCTCTCCTCTTTGCAGGAAAGCCTCCCTTGCTTGCGAGTTGGACTCCGGCTGCTCCACTCGAGGCTTCCATTGCACAGTCATGCCAAGGCTTCTGCATGAAGTAGAAGAACAGCTGCGCGGAAACCACGTAAATCAAGATGTAAGCAAACTGCCGGATGGGTAAGATCGCCAGGGTCTTGGCCCTCTCCCGCGGCAGGAGCTCTGCCTTCTCGTAGCGGAGTCCGTCTGGCTGATCCCCGCGGTTCAAGATCTTCACCATCTCCAGCTCGTCCGTGGCGGTGGGGTCGAGGATCTTGCGCTGGATGCCGCTCCTCTCGCGCAGGACCCGGATCATGGCCTCCTGGGTGCGGAAGATGACGTAGGCGCGGCCGCAGCAGCGGATCTCCTTGAGCAGGATCTCCCGGAACTCCTTCTGATCCTCCTTGATGTCCTGGACAAGATGCTCCTCCAAGGTTGAGACGTGGGGTTGGGCCCAGCCGGTCTGCAAGTCGTCAAGCTCAATGATGTGCTCCAGCATATCCTCCAACTTCTCTCTGGTCTCTTCAGGCAGGTGGAGGAAGTCGTAAAGTATGCAGACGCCATAGATTTTGCCCTCCATGTGCAGCTCTCTTTCTAGCTGCCGATGCAACTGCAACTCAGAAGTGACGTTCTTCGGAACGCCCTCCAACATCCTGGGCGGCCGTCTGAGGGACTTCCATGAGGCTACTACAACATGGATGAGCAGCAACATAAGACATCGTCCTTGCTCCTTAAACAGCAACCCAGCGTCAAGGTGTAGTCGTCTGCAGTTTGGTGGCCGGAGTCGTAGGATTGCTGGAACAGCTTCTGGTAGTAGTGAAAGCTCCATGACAGCAGAACCTAGGCTTGGAACCGATACATAAGAGCCACACATCATCTGCATTGCACAGTGCATATATTTGAGGGTTTGGGGAAGTTTTTAGGGGATATGTTGGGGAATGTTCCTTCCCAACCGCATCCAAGAAGCGCTGACCACCCAAAAAAGCACACCGAAAAGCTGGCCCGCTTTCGCGCGATCATACTCGCGCTGAACAAGGTGGCCTTCTAGAGACCTGCCAGCGCTTGATTCTGAAGCCCCAGCACTGAAACCGAAGATTTCCCGAAACCGGAAGGGTGAGGCTGTCCTTCTTGAGGCTTCGGAAGCAGGCTCATGACCATGCTGACACACCAAACAAGACGCCCGAAGCCTCTAAGGCCTCAAAGGCCAAAACCGCGGGCCTGAGGTCTGCCGCGGAGGCTGGGCACGAGGAGCCCAAGTTTTCGGTAAGGTCAATCAGCGATTGTCCTGCTGCGGGCTTCATACCCTGAACATCCATTAACCCTAAACCGGAATACCCTAGATGACATGGTCATGACTGTACGTGCTGAAAACGCTTGGTCGTGTTGTCAATAGACTGGGTTTACGGGCCGCCAAGCGATTGGGCAAAGATGCATGCAAGGCTTTCCTTATGCGGGCACCAGAGAGTCCTTTAGTCACGTTGGAAGTAAGCAAGTAGGACATCATCATCCCGAGCAGGCTGAACACAATCAAGAACATCTGCGTGTTGTAGAACCTGCTGGTCTGCTTCTGCACTCTTCCCATGAGCACGAAACAGCAAACACCCTGCAACCTTCAAGCCTCAACCCCCTAAACCCTGAACGACTGAGGCTTCGACAGCTGAAGTCCGATTCCCAGGTCGTCTTGCTTGTCAGTCGCTGCAAGAAGAAACCTTCGAGGTTTAGGGCTTAAGGTTTAGGGTTCACGTTCAATCAAGGGGGGTTTAGGGAGGTTTTCCTTACGACGTGGGAACGCGAAACGAAGCTCCAAGAACGACAACAAGTACAAGGATGGCGACACGGCTCCCCGATCCGTGTGGCTGTTGACAAGCTGACACGCAACAGGTCCAAAAACGACGACTCTAGATGGCGCGCAATCGCACAAGAAAGGCACCATTAGTTTCCAGAACGGCCACAACAACATGCCCCTTCAGCTTCCAGGGAAAAATAACCGAGGGTGCAGGACCACAATGTGTTTCAATAAAAAGAGGTTCGGGTTGGTTTGCGCTTTCCCCCCAATCCCTAAAGATCAAATGAACCCTAAAATTGGGGCAATGTACTCTGGCACTACTGTCATTCCGATGGGGTATATGATCCTAAACCCCAAACCCTAAACCCTAAACCCTTTTTCTTAGGGTTCATTGGGTCCCCCCAACCGGTCCTCTTCAGCCGCCGTTCTTCTTTGCGCGAAGCACGCTCCAAGGAGGCAAACTTGATAGATGCCTTTTGGGGGCTTGAAGTTGCTTTTATCGGGTTTAGGGCTTAGGGCTTAGGGCTTTAGGGTTCAGGGTTTAGAGTTTAGGGTTTAGGGTTTAAGGCTTGGGGTTTAGGGGTTTAGGGGTTTAGGGTTTAGGGGTTTAGGGGTTTAGGGGTTTAGGGGTTTAGGGGTTGAGGGGTTGAGGGGTTGAGGGGTTGAGGGGTTGAGGGGTTGAGGGGTTTAGGGGTTTAGGGGTTTAGGGGTTGAGGGGTTTAGGGGTTTAGGGGTTTGGGGGTCTCGGGTTTAGGGTTCACAACGAGGTCGTCCGGCGTTTGTGGATGGCGGGGACCTGGGTGTGATCTTGCCGGTTCCAGTCGCTCCATGATCCAGGGTTTAGGGTTTAGGGTTTAGGGTCTAGGGTTTAGGGTTTAGGGTTTAGGGTCTAGGGCTTAGGGCTTAGGGCTTCGGGCTTAGGGTTATTGCTCCATGATCCAGGGTGTGGGTTAGTTCAAAGTTCAGGGAGCCAAAGGCTTCGAAGGCTTCAGCAAGGCTTCTCTCCCAAGTTGGAGGCCCTCGGAAGCTTCAAGAATGCACTGCTCCTGCTTCTGATCCCCAAACCCTAAACCCTAAACCCTAAACCCCAAACCCTAAACCCTAAACCCTAACCCCAAACCCCAAAGCGGCACAGAACTAGCCCATGCCACGACCTCATGAAAATCGATGGCGAAACGCACCGCAGCGCGCCTGGATGCTGGTCTTGAAGCCATGCCTCAGCAGGGGCCCCAGAACCATCCCTTGAACCCTGGAGGGCTCAGGAGGCTTCGGGGTTTCGTTTAGGGGGGGAGTCTTGGGGAGGTTTTACTACCCGCTTGCAACCTTCAGGGCTTGGAGGGCTTCTGATCTTCATATCTTCTTTCCAGACTGGAAGATCTTCCACATGAACCCAGGGCATGTCACACCCGCAGCGATTATGTGAAAGGGCCTCCGAAGCACCCGCCCATGGTTGGCCAGGAAAGGCTTGCGAGAAGGGGTTGCTGAAGGTCAAAAGGATTGCCCGGTTCCGGTTGCGCAGGCCTACACCTCACACAGAAGGTTGTGGCGATGTCCATGTTGTGAAGAAGGGGGGACGCGAACGCCCATATGTCAGTCTGTTCAGTCTTGCCACAGGGGACACGGGGGCAGTGTTGCGGCTTTGGTTGCTGAGGCCTGTGTGGCCTCCGCAATTGGTAGAACAGCCTGACCGGGTCAAGCGCCCGCCTGGGGCTCATTCGCAGGTACCCACTGGGCGCTCGGCCAGCCCCCGCCTACCCCAAAAGACACGCGAGTGGAAAGTGCGTGGGCTGGCAAGTGGGATAAAGGGTTTTGGGAGACCCCTCACGTGAACCATAAAATGTTGCCAGCACACGCCAAGATGCGAAATTGCGTTCGCATTGCGCTTCTTTGCCTCTTTTGCCTCTACATGCTTTCAGCGAGGCTTGGGGCTACAGGGCCTTGTTTAGACAGAATGGCCCTTTGCTTCGGGTTTGGAAGAGCATTGCTGCAGTTTGTCGAACATGTGGTCTGTTTATTGCTTCTGTGGGCCCCTCTCCTGCGCAACCTCGTCCTCATCGATTGGGTTGCCATTGCTTGGCAACAATGATGCCTCAGCTTCGAATGTCTCAAAACGCAGTATACGGGCACCTGACATCTCAGGGCTACTGAAAGGACCTTTGTAAGGAGGTACGATAACAGGGAACCCCCGTCATCTTGAGACTGGAGCCAAGGCCATGCTAATCTTCTGTGTATCGTTCCTGCAAAAGCAAGCGTCATCCTTGCGCAGGGGCTAGGCAGTCGATATGCACAGCACTACTGTCGCCACATGTTGACATGGCTTCTTTACCCAAGCACACTCCCTCGGAAACAAAACCATCAAGAATGGCAGACCAGACCATCGGGGATCTAACGCAGAAACTGCCAGCCAGGCGCGCCCAAGTCCAACGACGTGGCACTGGCCTTGCTCTTGGGCGTACCGCCGTGTTTGCTCTTCCTGCCACGCATTTCTGAGAGTTTTCTCAGGGGATGTCTTGGGTTTGCTTGTGGGATTTTCAAGGGGTGAGAAGCCCTGCAGAGCCCATGCGTGCACATTTACGTGAGGCGGAAGTCCAGCTTTCGGCCCCCGCAAGGTAGCAGGTGCCAAACACGACCAGCACAATGAAAAGGGTGATGACCTCACTGTGCGCGGCATTCACGTGTCCAGTGATGCCCGGCAGGTGTTGTGTTTATATTTGCAAAGCACTACCTTGAAGGACCCCGCAGATTAGAATCACGTACTCCATACCACGGCCCATCCCATAATCGCATGTTCACACACTTACTGGCAAATCAGCATACAGATATGCCAAGCCAACCACAACTTATGGGGGCGGCGCAGTACCTAAACTTAGCATGCACGAACAGGGAGTGCCAGCTGCAAAGTCTTTTAGGAGGTTGCCCCGACCTACTTGCGAAGAAGACGTAACAAGCAAACTCGCATGCTACTGTCAAGATAGCAAGCAATTCATGCACTGCAGCTCTGAGACAAACATCAGCACGTACGCGGTCATCACAACCGCGCCCTGTCCGACAACGACACACTCCTCAGCTGAGCTGCCATCTCACAAGTCCACAGTCACAAAAACGTGTGCACGACTACGTGGGGATCACGTGCTCATGTGCTTTACCTTCGAACACCGCATAGACACAGACAACTGCACACCGACACATACATGCTGTGCTAATCCTTACGTGTCGCATTGTAGTGACACAGCTTCACTTGTCCAGCCTAGATGCCTGCGTTCCATTGCCCAGTTCCTTCAGCTCGAACCCGTCCTCGGCAACGAACTGCTAATTTGCCAGGACATGGCAGCTTTTGGCACGTTTTACGGTTTAGGGCTGGGGGCCACAACGCATCGCAACGCCACCGAGTGCGGCATGCAAGCAACCCGCCAATTCTTGCCGAGTCTCGAAACAAGCCTTGCAGCCAACCGAATCATCTTGATAGTGGCAAGTTTTGCATGCGGTGATTGGGCAGCTCGTACCTTACTTGGGTGTTTATGGGTAGTCAAAAGTAGGCTATAAGTACGCTAAATATACTTGTAACCTTATATAGGGTACTTATAACCCTACTTATAAGAACCCATGAAGTACAGCACGATACAGCCGTTACGGCTTTGGAGCGGGAAGGCTTCAGGTTCTTGCAGTGGTCGGCAACACTCCGCTATTCTGCACCTGAGGCACAAAGCTTGTCGTCCTTAAGCGGATTGACGGACGGAGCTTGAGGATTCAAGCGTGCACATTCTTCTTCCGAAGACACGCAGCTCACCAAACCTTGGCATCGTGGCATGCATGTCCAGGATCTACACGGCGTTTGGTCTTGCTATGAAGCTCTTGAAGCTGCTGGAATCTGTGGGATGGAAGATGGGTGGAACAGATTTCGAGGGTACAGCGTATCAGTCAAACAATCCAACCCGGATCAGGAAAGTTGCATCTAGCTTAGGCTGACTACACCAAGCAACATGGATAACCGGGAGCGGGCACGGCAAGCGGACAAGCTCCGTCCGTCAACTTCGAACAAGTGGTCTCTTCTTCATCCTGGCAAACTCAGACGCACGATATCTCTCGATGGGGTCTTGGTTCAACCCCGGCCTTCACCAAGCGAAAGTACTGGCCAGAGTTGTCGGCCCGAAGCAGCTCGGGCGTGCAGTGGCCTGCCGCTCTGCTGAAGTTGAAGAAACAAAGCAGCGCCAAGGACGGCAGCTTCATGGCTGGGCGCGGCAACACATGTACCTACGACACACGTCCTCCGAAAATTCAACGATCGACCTCATCATGTTCGAACATGTTCCAACAGTGCTGCGCTGCAGACTTGTACTTTTTTGCAACAAGATGACTTAAAGACATAAGGATTGCTGCAACGACATCAAGTAGAACATGATCATGGTGGCCGAGGCTGTAAAACTTGCGTGATGTTCCCGTCCTCGTCAAGCTTCAGGCGCCGCAACAGAATAACAAGCAAAAAACAAAACAAGCTTTGGCAAATCAAAGTTCGAATCTGGTTGGACATAGACAGGCTTGTGGAGGCTAGCCGACATGTTGCTGCAAGACGCGTGCCATCAATGCCATGCACAGGGCGCTGACATACCAAGCTCGTAACCAAGCGCGTTTTTTAAACATCCGTGACCTCACTTCATCTACGGTGCGCGAAACAACAGAGGATCACACAGATCACAGTCTTCTCACCGAACAGAAGCTGCATATGGAAAACCACTGCACCCAAAGTGGGGCACTATCCCGAGTGCTGAATTGTAGAGACACTTGCAGCTGCAACGACGGTGCACACAAAAGGACTCTTTCGCCGATTCTCGGCCAATGGCGAGCTTTGAACTGAAACCTCGACGACGGCACCAAGCAGCGACTACCTACCGATAGAAAAAATAGGAGAAACAGCACTTGTGCCAGAAAATGTTGAGCTCGATTCTGCACCGTTTTACAGCTTTCGAAGCCACCCTGATCTGATGGCCCGAGCAGCCTTTCAAGGCCCAAGCGATTGCTGTGCAGTGTAGAGCCCCCACTTTTCTCGGTACACTGCCAGATGGGCAAATGCCGTCGAGCGATGGAGCTGCCCTCGTGGCGGCGGCAGTCCAGGCGGCCTCGCGCACGCACCGCGGCGCACGGTGGCGGCGGTCGCTGCGGCGGTGGCATCAACGGTGCTGAAGCCCGTTGCTGCCACCCCCGCCCCGCCCATCCCGCGCGCAGCTGTGCCAGAGGCTTCAGGTGATCAGGATACCACTGACGAGCTGTTGCAACCCTTGAAACAGTCTCGCGCAGATCGTCGCAAGCTGAAGCGCCTGCGCCGGCGGGATAAAGGTCTGCTGCCCCACCGGCTTCGAAGGAACATGAGGGCACGGAGCAGCGCAAGGACGACGAGCCCCACGAGACAGACGATGCACCTTTGCTGGACAAGGAGGTCAAGCCTTCGCCTTCTCAGACACTGTCTGCGCAGGAGCAGATCTCAGATGGTGGTGAAAGCAGAGGGAGGCCAATATAGAGAATTGAGACGACCGACCATGAAAGGGACACTACAGTGGACTCGAAGCTCTCTGAGTTCTCGCAGTTGGTGCGGGAAGGCGAGAAGTTCAGAGCGCAAGCCGAGCAGAGAGCCGCCCAAGACCCGACTGCTTCCGGGGCACATGGGGCCACAAAGACTACTACGCAGCACCCGCAAAGCAGACTGCAAGAGGTGCTGGTGCCAAGGGCCGAGACGGAGGTGATCCAGGTCGCCGCCGACGCGGCCCTTACACCTGAAGATGCAGGCCGAGGGGCGTGCTTCGCTCCGTTTCACTGGAAAGTTCGTTGCAGCATTTTGCCGCAACCATTTTTGCGTAGTGCAGGAGGTGCCTTTGCTGGCACTTTACCACAAGTGTACAGGCTGGGCTATATGCCTTGTTTGGGAAATTTTCAGGACAGCTAGCCACCTTCGGGCCCAGGCTGCTTTCGACCTCTCACACAACAACAACCCGAGCAGCCTTTGTAGCTTCTGGACCGTGCAAGAACGCTCATCGCCCGCAATTTGATTCCTCAAAAAACATGATTGCCAGAACTACGCACTTGGCTAAAGGCCTGCCATGGAATTTGATGGAACGTACTTTATAGCCACCAACATTACAGGTACGAGCAACAGCATTTTTCGCACCGATTCACAACTCATTTCCGCTAACGTCCAAACGACTCCTGCGAAGAAAAACACGACTATTACTACCAGTGGTGACGCGTGACAACCACTTACAACCACAGCCCGCAACAACAACAACCACAAGGCAAACAACGACACTACAACCGCACCGGAACCCCCAAAGAATTTCAAGGTTATTGCAATTGCCTGGAAGCCGGAAATCAGCCTACCTCCAACTTTACCGGTGTTTTCCAATTTGTTTTAACCACGTAGGTTTAGTTTTTGAGGGTTAAGGCATCTAGGGTCTGTAAGCTTTGGAGTTAGGCTGCAGTGCCAGAATCTTCGGCTTTTGCTTGGATTTGCAGGGTTTGGGTTTGAAAAATTTGCGTTGTAAGGTTTAGAGCTAAAGTTGTTTTAAGCTTCGGCCTGTCAGAGTTTGGAATTGTGGTTGAAGAAACAAACTGATTTTGGTGTGAAATTACAAGGCATGCGTCAATACAGAAACCGCACTGAAGATGCAAACTTCAAAGGAGTTTCTCCAGTGTGTAAATAATGGAAGTCTGGCAGTTACCAGCAATCGAAAAACTGCAATCAATTCCGCAGCATAAAGTTTTAAAGGATTGAAACAGGTCTGCAACCTGGAGCTGCAGATTTAAGTGCAGTTTGGCTTGCTGTGCCACCTAGAACTGGGAAGGCGTGGTGGAGCTCAATATTTTGCTGCTGAAGATGGCAGTCCTTCAGAAGGCCCTTCAAAGAATCTGAGTTTACAGAACCCACAAAGGCCCTCAATAAGGTTGTTAACAGTTGAAAGACTCAAAACTCTGATGCCTGAGCTAAGGGAACAAGGCAACAAGAGGGAGAACCACAAAGGGTTGGGGATCAACACAGCCCTCGACCCTACGTACAACCCGCTCTCAGAGCGCCCCTTTTTCATCTTGAGCCAAAAGGTGACGGCAGGTCGTAGTCCTGGTCTGCACAACATGACTATACAAGGAGGATACCCGTAAATTAACAACTCCCCCCTTCATGCTTGCAGACTCTCAAGTCCTAGAGCTCATTTGAAGCTCGATTCTGGACTTCAGGAAGCAACAGCTACGAGCTCAACTCTGCAGCCAAACCTACTGTCGATTGATGTACAGGCTTAGCCATGTACAAATTGAATCCAGTATCTCAGGTGATCAGGCTGAAACGCAGACTCAATAAACCTTTAAGGTATAATTCTACTTGCAATCTATACAAAACTACTCTCAACCGGTGCAGGACTGTGCTCAGGCGGAGTCAGAGCGGCGCTTGGGAGCAGCCAGACACTGACATCACGCAGTGCAAGGCTGAGGGCAGGCAAGGAGTGCAGAACGAGATCCTCAAGAACTCATTCAGATGACACAGGGATGATGGCTCATATCCAAGTGTCTGCAAAAGCACGATGATGGATACTGTACAAGACTACTCCCAATCAGAAGCACAGCTGTGCTCACGCAGAGTCAGAGTGGCGCTAGGCAGCAGCCAAACACCGACATCACACAGTGCAAGATTGAGGATAGGCAGTGGTTTAGGAACGAGTTCTTCAAGAGCTCATTCGGATGACACAAGGATGAAGAGAGCGGCCGCTGGGCATCCGAGTGTCTGCAAGTTGCACAGTGATGGAAGTATCGCTCAGCTGAACAACCATCGCAACATTATCACCAGAGGCAATTGTAACAAAGCTTTAGGTGATGGCGAACACACTTAGCTGGGAACATCTGGCAGATGTTTAGTAGAAATGCGCAGCAACTTTAGTGCGTGCGCCCATTTCCGGATTGAAAGGGCCTTCGTCAAAGGATTTCCTTTCTCAGCTTAGCTGAATATCCTTTCGGATAATGGCGACACAAGCTTCATTATTTGCATGACACAAAAGCTTGATGCCAAGAATCACGGTTTGCCAAACTTCAAGTAAAGGCAACGCGTCATTGAACAGGGCACTGCTCGAACACAACATACTCTCTTCCGGGAGCGTTGGAGTCGCTGAGTGACTTGAACACATGAATGTGATCAGCTGCGATGACTTCTCCAAATTCCGAGGCTTCAAGCAATGCGGGCTCAGAGTCCTCATCACGAGGCTTGCGACACACTCTTCTGGACAAGAGCTTGGATTGATTGCACGCATCACAGAACGGGTTCTTTGGGAAGTGGAAGAAGCGATGCTTCACTTTGCGAACTCGATCACTGACATGTGCATCATCCACAACGGGGAATCCAGGTGAACTCAAATCTAGAGGCTTGTCCCCTTCAGGAAGCGCAGACGCAGCAGGACCATCAGGGCTTGCTTCGATAAGATGTTCTTTGGGTAACCCCCCTGACGAAGAGGAAGGTATCTCGGACGAATCAACTTCTGCGGGAATGACATCAACCAGCGGAAGATTGTCCAGTAGAAACCCAACTCCTATGAGAGCATCCAAAACATCATGCTCGAGAGAAGCAGGATCATTTGCCGCACACAAGACCATCACAAGTCGATCACCAGTCCAAGGCTTCGTGGCACGAAGTCGATCTTCGGCGGAAAACCGGATGACCCCTTTCTTGGACTTCAGTAGACCGACCACACCACCTCGACAGAAGCAACCTACTGCAAAGGACGAGTCATCGCTCGGCTCAATCCCTCGGGATGCGGAACCACGTTTCATAAGTCCAAAGATCTTACGAACTTGATTGGGCTGAATATCACCACGCTTTGTTAGGAGGTCTTTGGCATACTCTTCAGCTGGATCATGGGCAACGGGACGCGAAGGCTCTTGGCATTCCTCACCCGACTCGTCAAGAGAATCAGCTGACGCAGCAAGACCATGGACAAACTGACATTTGCTGGTGAAGATCGGCACATGCTCATCTGTGCGCTTGGCATAAAGCTTGGCTTCTTCGGCGCAGTCGACCCGAAGCTTAGACAAGTCACGCGCGAAGAATGGAAGGGAACCGGGTAACCATATGAAGGCCTTCCCAGATTCAACATCCAAGCCAGTGCTTCGAACAACTGGGCAGTTGTCCAACATGTAGTGAATGGCGAGAGGCATATTGTCGGACGCAAATCCCAAGCTCTGCGAACCGGGCTGAGGTCCACCGCCTGCGTGGAACGTAACAAGGCTCGCTGAGTGCGCAAGAAACGACCTGTATGACTCCGACGGAATTCCCTGGTCTGCCAACGCCCGTGCCGATCCAAGATACCGACCAGCAGCTGTGTCCGCAGCCCACCCAACGCTGAAGGCGTTGCTTCCAGGGATGTTGCACACGCTTGAGGCGGCAATCATTGCCACGACTGCCTTCGCAACGGCTCCTGTGGATTTGGGTTTGGAAGCGGCGGCCTTAGGCTTAGACTTAGGGTCAACCTTAGGGGTCTTATCAGGGTCATGACTGTACTTGCAGTCCGCTCCGTGCATGCAACCAGATGCCATCCTGAAGAAAATGCAAGGCGTCTTAGCCTTTTCTGCATCTGACATGCTTTTTGCTTTTGGCTTTGCTCTCGCCTCAGGCTCAGGGGTTGGTGCTGGGGTTGTAGACACTGGAGCCTCTGGCGGAGTCTTGGGCTCTGGAGGACTTCGCGGTGGCTCTTCGGTCTCAGCAGGTACCCCCCTGGCCTTTGCCTGCGGAGCTGCAATCTGCAAGGACTTGATTACCGACTGAGCATTGGTGTCTTCTCGTTCTTGAACGATGACGTCTTGCATCTTGTTCCATAGGTAACTCCACTCACGACGACGGGATTCTGGCGCAGATTCTCTGATGTCATCAATGACACGTTCTAGCTTCCTAATGTGCTTCACACGGTGGAAGAGCCATTCGCCAGTGAGGCGATCATCCGGCCTCTGTCCTATTGGGATTGAATACAGAACAGTCCGAACGCGCTGCACAAAATCCCGGAGATCTCGAATGGAGTTTCCTCCAATTTCGACCTGGAACAACGTTGAAGCAGTCAGCACAGTGCCTCGAACACGGTCAATGCTGAAATGACGAGCAAGAAGGGCAAGCATGTATCGACCTTTCGGCTGGGACCCTGTCTGGCCACACAACTCAACGTAGGCGATAACTTCTTGCGCCAACTCAGTCACTTGCTTCAACACACGCATGGAAGTCATCTCTCCAGCAATCCAAGCATCAAGGCGAGGAAGAAGACCTGATTCAGTAAGCTCTTCTTTTTCAGCTGAGAAAGACCGAGACAACCATTCAACAACCAAACCTTCGCCTGACATGTCAAGCTTGGCAATCTGGACCAACAACGAGTTTTTCCAGGCTCGGAAACCAGCAGCGTCGGAAGGAACCGGCTCAAGCTTGAGATGTAACAAAGCTCGGCTGTCAACAATGTGCTTCTCTTGCCTTTCAGGCTCTTCGATCTCATGAACAGGAGATGCATCATTGCATCCTGGATCCGCGCCATTTCTTTGGGCAAGCAGTTGCTGTACGACATCAATCAACTGATCAACACGAGGATCGGTAACGGTCGCAGGAGGGCAAGGGGCTGACTCATTGACAACTTGCGGCAATGAAGGTGCACCACTACTATCCTCATTCGAACCGTTATGTACCCAACTAAACCCACCAGAGCATGCACTTGACGCAATTACCGGCGGCTTATCTGGCTGGCGAGGAGCAGACGTTGGAGGCGAAGACCCAGGACTCGTGGCGCTTGCAGCAGCCTGGCGAAGTCTCTGAACCTCGCGGTCTTTGACTTGCAACTCGACATGTAGCTGGGTGTTTTGGAAGTTCAGCAAGTTGTTGTCACCCCGGCAGCTGGTTAGGGCGGCTTCAAGCTCTTGGTACCCTGCACGAGCGACCTGAAGTTCTGCTTCGGCCTTGCTTAGCTCGGCCTTAGCTACAGAGAGCTGTTCTTCCAAGATTCGACCCTGTTGAAGGATCTCACCATAGCGATGTTCGTACTGTTGCAACTGCTCACGCATTTGCTCAACGGTGGATTCAACCAAACCTCTAGCCTCATTCTCAACACGCTCTAGCCTTGTGGCATGCAACTGTTCAGCATGATCAGCAACATGTTGCGCTGCTTGCGCTGCGGCTAAACGCTGTGCATCCAAAACCTCTTGCGGAGAGGCTCCAACATTCAGGATGTTCTGTGTGTATGAGGCTTGAGCGGTTAGATTAGGGTAAGGGCTTGAGTGCTCATGAGTTTTGCGAGGTCTAGACAAGGCTTGTCTAGTCAGAGGAGGGGACCTTTCACGGACCTCAACTGCTGAACTACTAGTAACCGAACCACTATCCGAACCAACACCACCTGGCAATGCCGTGGCTGAAGCACTTGACAAATCAAGCACTGAGCTGGCTTGATTGCTAGGGTCTGAGGGGGAAGACATTGCCTTGAGAGGTGGAAGCGCTTGGCAGCAGCTCAACGCACCTTTTCACGCAAGTGGCAGTGCTTTGTTGGATCTGCAATCCCCTCAATGTCGCCAGAGGAGGCGCTCAGCGCCGGACAACTGGACGAACAGCCCCAGACCTTTAGGCGTCCGGAAACCACTTCCGCACCTGACCTTTGATAGCGTCAGTACACTCCGGAAAGCTGTCAAAGGAAGGCACGGGAGCACGCGGAAAATAGTGCGCTGTCCACGATTCCTTCGGAATGGCAATATGCAGAGGAATCACGTGCTCAGAGCCCGCCAGCTCGTCACAGACATCCGCAGAGTCGTCGACGTGAATGATGGGGAGCTCAACCTCCTTTGCCAGTTTCTCCAGCACTGCACGCTTCCCCAACGGACCAGTGGCCTTCCTCGTAATGAAAATGAGGCAAATAGGCGATTCCCCGATCTGCGTGAAAAGAGTATCACAGGAATTCACTGTCGTCTCAACCACGTGCCTCTTGGTGTCCTCGTGATGACAGTAACTGCAGACGAAGAATAAACCCCCGTAGCGCGGAATCAACGAATGAAGATCGCGCAAGGCTGCCACACACTCTGGAGGAAACTCGGGCCTAGGATCCGTCCAGCTCGTTGACTTTTTGTGATATCGATCCAACACTCCGTGAAAATCCAAGCTCCAAAGGAGAATCTCTCGAAAGCTGGTTCCGTAAGCTCACCTTAACACCCTCAAAGTCCAGCACCTCTGTCTTCAGGGGATGGAAGTCAATCACACGAGGATTTCCTGTCACCTGAGGTGGCGGAGGATGCGAAGGTTCCGGTACACGATGCGGCACCTGAGCTGGTGGAGGATGCGAAGGTTCCGGCACACGAGGCGGAGCCTTCGGTGGAGTCTTTGGAACCGGAATGCCTGATGACAACCTTCGAGGCGGAGCTTTCGGTGGAGTCTTCGGAGCCGGAATGTCTGATGACAATGGAGCCGATGGAGTTAACAAAGGCTTTGGAGTCGGCAAAGGCCTCTGAGTTGAAGAGCTTGATGACGAAGAAGCGGGTGGAGGTGATGGAGCCGTGGTCTTCGCCTTCAGAACAGCAGTTGAAGGATGAAGTCGATGAAATGGACGAAATGGCGTAGAAGGCGGCGGAGTCTCCGGGGCCTGATCGTCAATAACGATCACTTCTGACTGCTCTTCCACAGCCTGAAAGGGAGCCGTCCTCGGACGGCGCACTACGGATCTTGTAGATCCGTCAGGGCGACGGAAGGGAACTTCGGATGGATCAGCGAAGATGCCCAAGTCCTGGTCGCGCAGAAAGATATATATTTGATATGCTTTCCGCTTCCTCTGGGCTGCAGCGCCCCCTCGAGTGCCTCTCACGCCGAGAGACCTTGGAACACGCTCTTCCTCACGAGGAGGGTTACAGTCCATGGGTTCTCAATCCTAGACTCTGGAATCTTTAGAGCAAACAGAGCGATACGGAGCTGATAACCAGTTGAAAGACTCAAAACTCTGATGCCTGAGCTAAGGGAACAAGGCAACAAGAGGGAGAACCACAAAAGGGTTGGGGATCAACACAGCCCTCGACCCTACGCACAACCCGCTCTCAGAGCGCCCCTTTTTCATCTTGAGCCAAAAGGTGACGGCAGGTTGTCGTCCCGGTCTGCACAACATGACTTTACAAGGAGGATACCCGTAAATTAACAACTTTAACCTGGTCGACACCCTTGAATCAGGGGCATGATCTTTACCAATGTTGCGAAGGGGGCTTGAGCAAGGGGGGCTTTCTAATTGGAGGAAGGTCAGGGGGTCGGGGGGGGGGGGGGGGCGAACAATGAAGGCTTGAGAAGGGGCTTGAAGGGGGGCTTGAGAAGGGGGGCTTCCTCAAATTCGAATTTAAGGGGGGCTTCAGCAGGGACCCCGTCTCGAAGGGGGCTTGAGGAAATTCGGAAGCCCCCTCCTCCCACTCCACAAGAAGCAAATGGAGGGGTAGAATCTACTTCTCTGATTTTCGAATAATGAAATACAAAACAAAACAAGATTCGAGGAGGGTGGAATTTAGAATAAGGCCCCTTCTCTTCTCCCCTCCTCCCACTCCACATGGGGGGGCTGCGTCCAGCCCCTCCAAAACCCACTTTCTACTTCTAGAACAAAAGCAGTCTCGTCTCTACTCCTCTGACTGTGAAATACAAAACAAAACAAAATTCGGTGGGTGGAATTTAGAATGCCTTCTCTCTTCTTCCTTCCTCCCAATCCACAATAAGCAAACGGGCCCTTTCCAACCCCCCCGCTTTCTACTTCTAGAAACAAAAGCAGTCTCGTCTCTAATCCTCTGATTTTCAAAGAATGAAAGACAAAACAAAACAAGATTCGAGGGGGTGGAATTTAGAATAAATGCTCTTCCCTCTTCTCCCTTTCTTCCAATCCACATTCTCATCTCCGTCCTCCCACCATTTAAAACATTTTTTTTGAACGGACGCCTCTTTACCACAAGAGAAAGGACGCAATCCAATCCTGAGTGAAACATACGCATGATATTCTTCGTTTCTACTAAACACATGGAAGCCCTCTGCAGGTTTTCTTTTAATGTCATGCTTCACCGGGCCACCTTCGGTGTCTGCGTCTCATCATGTTCGAGGTGTCGGGCTTTCTTTGTGACGGAGAGGCCAGGTTTTGCGCGCAGTCCAGCAAGAGCAACCAAATCCTCTAAAAGAGAGGAAGAAATGCTCATAAGGAACTCTGAGCAATTCATGTCACTGCACGAGAATGGGCCCCCGCCCTTTGGGCAAACGGGGGCTTAAGCCCCCCTTCAAGCCCCCCTTTAAGCCCCCGCGGTCCCTGCAAAGGGGGTCCAGGGGGGACCGTAGGTTGCAGCCTGGGTTGCACCCGCAACCGAAAGCAAAGGCGAGGCATGAAGGTTGCTGAGAATTGGGTTGTAGTCGTTTGGGGGCTGTTCGATACTTTGAGGTTGGTTGCCTTGCAACCGACCCAGCTCTTTCCGAAGCTGCCCAGCGCTGTGCGTTTTCTTGGACATCTAGGCAGAGTGACTAGCTGGGAATTTGTTCAACTGCTGGATCTGTTAAGTGAAAGCCCCTGAAGGCCCAAATCGAGGCATTGATCCCCTTCTTGCAGCTCGAGTCTGGACGTGCACAATGTTGCAACCGACATGGGTTTGTAGACCTTGACCCCTTTAGCGCAGCATGCCGGAGATTTCTTGTCTCACCGTATTTCTTTGCCAGACCAGGGAGCCGATTGACCCTGCCGAGCACCTGCGTGGTGACAGTTCCTCTTGATGCCAGATTGGGTTCCCGAGCCAAATGAAAGTGCCTACAAAAGATCTAAGCCCTGTTCGTTGAAACTCGTGGCACAGCTACGGGGCCTAAGGGACCTCAGGTCAAGACTACACTCAACCCTCACAGCACGAAGTGCGGACTCTCTTCACTGCGCTGTTCACAGCTTCTCGAGCTCCGCTCGTCTTGAGCCAATGCGAGCACGGCTCTCCAGCTTCAAACACTGTCTGCCAGACATGGGAAAACAAAGGTACTTCAGGTGAAAACACTCAGCCATGGAACTTCTACTCCTAAACACTGCGGGTAGGTTCCTAGCACCTCTTAGGTGCTCTGCTGAGCTCTGCGCAGACCTAAACTGGCTTGAGTCACTTCTGGTCACCAAATACCAGGTCACAAACAGGAAACGAGTTCCGACAAACGAGTTTCGAGAAAACGAACAGAAAACGGTTCTTCCCACTCAAAACAAGGTCTCACCAAGCCAAAAGAAATCTGCACTGCCTGACATGTCCTCGTGCCTATGCTTCACACTCATAGCAGACAACTCAAGTGCACATCACGTGTCAACTGGGAAACTAGGAGGGTCACATATATCAACTCCCCCTCATGACCAAGAGTTTCACTGTTGGTCACGTCAACTAAGCTCCACGCAAAGCCAACTAAGCTTCTCGCCGGGCCATGGATTCCGGCGCATTCCTCAGTCCTAGACCGCTGCACTGCTACAGACCGCTGGAGGTCGACTGACTCTCGCAAAGTAACCTGGCTGGGCGGGTGGGCGGGTCAGCCAGGGCGGGCGGGTGGGCTCAAATTACCGCAGTCGCAAGCTTTCCAGGGCGACGTCCGCGAAAGCTGGCGGATAGTGCTGCGTTGCTTTGAGATCAAAGTCTCGTGAATGATCTCCCTTGCAGGTACATGCAAACGTTTCTGACATGGTTCGCACAAACTGTTCATCGTTCGACATCAGTTTCCAAATCTTTCGGATAGGTAATCCATCTCTGCCTACCAAGCCTGAAACACAGCCGTGCACTTCGCCAGTGTAATGGGTTCTTTGCTTTGCAAACGAACGGGTGCTTGCCCATCCCCAGTAGGCACACCGCTGCGGCCATTCTATGACCCATACCCCCACTTGCGGGTGGTTCACCATCACTAAGAAGCTCCGCCAGAGCTTGCGATGCACCGTGAACAAAGCTTGTAGATGGTCCTGATAGCCCGGCCGATCTTCGTGTCGCCGTTGGTACGGGCTACCTCCGGTACAAGGAGTGCTGCTCCAGAAAACAACCTTCATCCCCCATTCTCTCGCAACATTCATTGCAGA